GATTTTAATGCTTTCTTGTTTTGTTCAGCACTTTGAATTGCCTTGTGTATGAATTGTGCTATACAAATAAACTTGCCTTGCCTTGTCTTTTGTCCCAACAGAAAGAGTCTTGTAAGAGTAACATTTGGTGAATAAATCAGACCACAACAAGCTGTCTCCATCTGGTTATAAAACATCTTATCTTATACATACTGGTTAGAAAGAGCCCTGTGAGTCACTATTCGACACTTTGGGCTGAAAGTTGATCATCTGAGTGAAGGTGGTTTTCTCTTTTTCACTTTTCAGTTTGAAGAAGTTGATCTCAAAATGTGGCACAATTTAGTATTACAAGGTTTATTTGTACACTAGTTGACAAATAGTAGCACAGTTCATGCTCAAGGCAACTCAAAGAGCTTTAGAGAACAAGAAAGGAAACATGATAATTACAATACAAAATCAAACTTTAAAAAAAAAAAATGTATTAGTTGTGAAATTTAACAGAACTAACCTGGATGTAAACAGTCAGATAGAGCTAGTTGTAAAATGTGTAGTTGAAAAGTTAGGTACTTTAGGAAGCCTTTATGATCTTGAAAATTCATTAAAACATTTTTTTCTATTGGTGTAAAAATGAAGGGCATTGGCAAAAGGTGCCATTAACGTACACTATAAGAACATCTTCATTGATTATTATGGAAATCTTTAAAGTCCTTTATTGATTACATAGACACCTTTGAAGCCTCGCTGTATCTTTATGTTTTGTAAATAGCACATTTAAAATAAAAAAATGGTGAATCAACTGAACTGATAACTCTCAGCTCAAAGCGTCAAATAGTGACTTACAAGGCTGTTTAGTACACAAGCATACAGAAAAGAGAGAGAGAGAGAGATGAAGAGAGAATGGTGTAGTATTTCTGTTTGGTCAGTTATTATTTGTGGTGTTATATGTGACCCATAAAAACATCTTTTATAAAGTTGGTTACCACAGCTTTAAGAGAAGAAAAGTTTGCATCATACATCTCCTTTAAAACAAATTCACTCAAGACCACAAGTATTTATTCCAGGGTCCTTAATCGCAGCCTGGACAGTTTTCAGTAGCTTCATCTTTTCTGACCCACTTGGACCCAGTGTTAGCGGGACTCCAGACTTTCCTTTTTGGAGGAGAAAAACGGAAAAGTGCATTTGAAAAGAACCAGAGGAATTGTCAAACATGGTGCGGCTTAAGGTTTAAGGAGGCAGCACTCACTGTGGCGTCTGTTTGCCCTGCAGTTGAAGTGTATTATTAACAGAATTAAATGGTTGAGTTTAATTGGTTACTGGCTGTAAGCGCTGGTAAATGGTTCATGAATAAGCCCTACTGAGAAATAACGTTTTTTTGTTGTTGTAATGTGGCTAATTTTCGATGTCTTCGCCTCTTGTGTGCGCTCATGGAGAAAGTGCTGATTCAATGGCTCTAAGTGGGGCCTTTGTGTCTGCCATTAATTGCGCTGTGAGCTGTAGTTAAGCTTGGGTTTATTTCCGTTGACTTTCTGTGGTTCCTCAGTTTTGTGTCGTTTATACAGGATCAGAATGGTTGTTTTAGACAAAGAGAGAGCAGAGAGTGCACTGCCGGCAACTGTGCCACTCGTGCTTTAGGATTCACTTAATGAGGCTGGTTACACTTAAGTCACATTGTTAGGTTTCTGTATTATGTTGCTTTGCTTGCGACATCTTTTTATTCTCACAGGTCCAATTTGGGTTTTCTGGGGCGGATTTTCCTGACGAATGCTAATGCGCTAGTTAGCATTAGGATTTTTTAAGAGGTTACATCACAAGTCTTTATGGTTTCTGATTGGAGTCTCATTTTAAAGATGAAAACGTGGATACCGACATTACAAGCATTTTATTTATGGAAGGTTTGTTTGTAGCTGATATGTTGCAACTGTATAGAAGTAATGTGGACAAAGGATTGAACTTTTATTTAATTGATATGGTGCTATTTTTTGGTGGTTTTTGTTTCTGAACAAAACAAGTTCATTTGTGCTGAAAACGAGCTTAAAACTGAGGTGTAACAAACCATGAACTATACTGGTGGATTATAAGAGGTCACGGCCTATAGACACATACATAATACATAATACAGTATTCCAGCTGACCTCTACTTTTTTAGCAATTGACCTTGTGAGGTAATCTTCCCCTGACAATATTGTGCTTTTGACTAACGTCAGACGTAGCATCCATAATTTGTCAATCTACAAACATCTGCTTCATGACAATATTGATTTACTATGTCAAAGAGAAATATGGACCTCAACACCTGCTCTTTGATCATATTTTTACTGAATTAGTCTAGTTCAGCTTACTGGTCGAAACAGCAATGATACAACTAAAAACAAATATGTATTAGTTTACTGAATGACACAACAGCCATGCCAGCACATGTCGTCGGCAAATCGACAACTTTGTTTGTAAGTCCCCAACATCTCTAATGTTTAAGGCTATAAGAAAATACATGTAATTCTACTTACTTAATTTTGATAAAATCACATAATCTGCATCTGTTACCTGGAGATTCTTTCAATTCTGTACAGTGGCACCAATATTTGAACTTTTATTGCAAATGAATGTCATCTCTCTATAATGGCATCGATATCAGCCCTGAAACACATTATAGTCGACACCGAGCCATATGTTGCAGCAATAGAGAAATTAAGCAGAAACTTGATTTGCAATTTAAGTAAGTAGTAGTAAGTAAGTAATCTTTATTTATATACCGCCTTTTCACTGCAGATCTGAGTCTCAAAGCGGTTTACAATTGTTAATTTTTGGGCAATTGTCTCTCACTCCACACAGAGATGGGAGCGGGGTCGCCAGTACAGGAGGCGCATGCTAGAACTATTGGACATATTTTTAGTGGTAGGGGAAACCGGAGTACCCGGAGGAAACCTACGCAGACACGGGGAGAACATGCAAACTCCACTCAGAAAGGCCCTGGTCCGAACTGGATTCGAACCCAGGACCTTCTTGCTGAGAGGCGAGAGTGCTATCCACTCAGCCACCGTGCCGCCCTCCAACTCCAGCATAAATCCCCTGATGGGCAAGTGTGGAGAGGAGTGCAAAGACACATGAATGCTATGCTAATTGCCTGCTCCTTATGCGCTGTCCTGTTATGAACGATGCAAAGGGGAGCTTCTGTTGGGCCGGAGCCAGCCCTACACATACGGCTTTTGTAATAAGGAAAGAAAAGCCTATTTGTCAGTGAGACCAATTATAAGTGTTGCACAACTCAACCTGCTGAGCTATCAGGAGCTAGGTGTACCAGATTCAGTTTGAGGGACAGGAAAGCAGTGGATGGAATAAATTCAAAGATGGGACGGATGGGAAGATGTAGAACCTAAAAGCACATGTATTATTTAAATTCAATGCATTCTTGTACAGCCTTAAATCACAACAGTAGTTATCTCGGAGGACTTCACAAAATCTTTGAATTTGCCAACACAGATCAGAGAATCAAACAGTTCACAGACAAGACATGAAATTATAAAAAAAACACATAGAGCTATTGGTCCATAAAGGGGCAGATGACCAATTTCCATATATATTGATAAAGTCCTGTTGAATGTCGAGTCTCCTGGACCCTCCTGCATCAGCAAGAACAACTCTAAAAACCCAATGGGAGAAAATGAGAAACCTTGGGGTGGCCCACATTAAGGGAGGGATCCGCTCCCCCGGATGGACAGGCTATAGATCCATGTTGTAAAATGTGGACTGAGGACCAAGGCCAGCCATTGCAAGATGGAGGCGGCTCCCAGGCGTGGAGGGGGTATTTCAAATGGCAGCACTGAAATGTTATTTAGTCTCTTAGTTACTTATCTTGCATTTATTCATTTGAAGGTGTTGTAACTGGGCACAGGAGTGGGTTATTACAGACCAATGGAAGGATAGAGTTATCATTGGAATGGAGACAGGGAGTCATACAAGAAAAGTTTCATTTTGTTCCTTTCATGCTGGTCCCACTGGAGAGTGGAGCTGCATTGCCACTTCCCTATTGTCACTTTTGTTCTGTATTGTCGTGTATTGTGTTGTCGTCTTTGTAAGATGTTGACAGGAGGTCAGGGTGTTTATAATTACAGAGGCAGAGCTGACCTGTGCCGCAACCTTCATAGACTCGAGGCTTTGTATTTTAACTGGGAAAACGAATACATTAAAAACCTCTTTCAGCGGCATTTGCTTAGACTGGTATATTGTCTCCTGAGCTAATGATTGGTGGTTGTAACCCTGCTTGCGGCTTGAATATAATTTGTGTTCAGATGAGATTCACAGAGCCTGTGAATTGAGTTTCTGAGTACACTGGTCTGTGAATGTGTAAGTGATTTTTTAATCTAAAATCATTTCAGCACACACAATATACATATACAACACATACTGTACTGTACTTGTGTGACTGTCAACCTCTCCATAATCATATAACATTCAGTTACAATAACATTTGAGAATGTAATTGCCCATTTCTGATATCGACACATGCTTTTACATGACTTTTTTTTTTTTACATTTAAGCCATGTTTATTTTGAGCAAACAAAAGTAGAGTATCAAAATTGTGCATAAATAACCCTGAGTTACACTACATAAAACAAAATTACGAATATTATACACACAAGAAAAACACTTGCAGATTTCTCTGTAACATATGGCTTTTGAAACTTAGCAGAAATATCTTATGCCATTTGAATGAGATTATGTAAATTAATTGGTGCTCGCTGAAGTGATCATTACATGTTGATGGGGAGGAGGAGGGTTGTGGTACAATCTGAACTCGGAGTACAAAGCCAGCTGTCGGTCGGTTGACTGATTAGAAGATGTTCAAGTGTGTAGTGGGAGGAGGACTGGAGTGAAAGCACAACAAAAACATCTCATTATTCTCATTAACACTTCAATGATCTTTTCTACATAGAATTATGCCTAACACGTTCACACTCAAATCAAAATGCTACTTTTATTCTCTCATGCCTCTATATCCTAACACATTTTCTTTCATTTTCAGGAGAGGAAAGAAACACAGCATAATTCTTCGGACCCAGCTCTCAGTCAGAGTCCACGCCTGCATCGGTGAGTACCAGTCCCTCTTTGCTTCTCATCTTACTCGCCGCTGTTCATGGATTATAATAGAGATTCATATCGATGCGAAAACCAGTAGCACAGTGGCATGTAAAGTCTCTGTTTGTGAGGTCACGCGGCCTTTGATGGCGGGGGTATCGAGCAGATGCCTTAAACACGTCCCTTTATGTTTTGCCGTCGCTGTGTTTTGTCACTTGCTTTTATTGGGCCTCCCGGTGTCTTTGAGTAATGTGAGGGAAACTGGTGCAGAGCTGAGTGGAACCATATGCAAGAGCTCGCTCGCCGGGCCCACATGTGCCGAGACTCAGGACGCACACAGCCAATCCCAGGCCAGCTTTAATAACATTAGGCCCAAAAAGACTTATCCCGCACTAACACATGTGTCAGCCTCTTCTCTGTTTATGTTGGATGTCTGATTGATAAACAAAGAGCACGGAACACTAAAGTTATAGACGAAATCGACGGTAATTTCATTTTGGTTTCATGCGCTGTGTGATCTCCCAGAACGTGAAGAAAACTGTGCCTCTGTAAGTGCAAAAATAACCCAAAGTCTGGAAAAGCTATTAGCTACAAAAGCGCTTTTTCTTTTTATTCTTTTTCAGTTTTGCCAAAATAAGAACAGATTCAACAAGAACATACTGTGCTTGATTAGCAGATTACCATTTTAAATCATCATTTGACATTTACAAAGAAATAGACTAAATATTCATATAAAGCTTTGTTCTGATTATTTGACCATGTTTACAAAGTACCATAGTTCTTGTACTGGATCACACACCGGGCTACAATTAAGGACATTTATGGACATTTATCAACGTTTATGGACATTGGTCGTCCGCCCCCTATGGACCAATGGCTCCTATGTGTTTGTTATTATTGTATGTTCTCTGTTGGAAGTGTTTGATTTTCTGATCTGTTGTTCAGGAATTTAAAACTTGTAAACTCCTCTGAGATGACTACTGTTGTGATTTAGGGCTATACAATTGAGTTGGAAATGATTTGATCAAAGTAAAATTCAAATCCATTGATCCATTTCTTCTCCATTGACGCTGGCGTGTAACGATGGATCCTACTGAGACCAGGCCAGCAGATGCATGGAAGAGCACAGGGAAAGGCCTTGCTTGGATTAGAAATATAGGCCACTCATTAATTGCATTATTACTACACGTTTTTGTGGCTTTGGTTATGTGAAGTCACCAGAAGAGGCGCTTATATTGTTTTGTAAATGAGTGCAGTGGCAGAATACACAAAAGCATGTAGTATTGGGTCAAAGTAAAATGTTTTGGCAGTCACAATAAGACTTTTTCTTTGTCATTTCGTAATAATTGTTAATTTGTAGAGAGCAGATGCAGCAGATAGATTTAATGGTTTAAAAAAAACAGATTAGTAAATTAGTGGTGTATTCTGGAATATGGAATGGAAGACATTCTCTGCTGTCATGCCACAATACTTACCGCACAACTACTATGTGTACACACGCATGGTAAATAAGATTGTGGAGTAGATCTGCTTGACTTGATCCTGTCTCTGAACTTTCTTTGAGGACTGGTCATGGCCCCTGCTGTTACCTGCTTCTGCTTATAGGATCCTGGGCAGAGGAATCAGACTGCGGCCTAAGCAGATAGTGACCGCTAAGTGGACAGCCACCTGTTACAACCTCCTCAGAAGCTACAATTAGGCACAAGGCTATTTCAATATTTGGTGTTTTTTATTTTTGGATGGACCAGTCTGCTAAACTCAGACACAATGACACCCCTTAGCTTTTCTCAACTTCAATTATTGTCATGCATTAAATGGAGAGACAGTGATCATGAATCCAAAGAAGATGAATTTCTATTGTTTTAGAGAAAAAATAGAGGGTCTCAGAGTGTTTTACTGAAATATGCACAATTCACTTCAATATGTGATGGGTCATCTCTTGCCGACATATAGTTAGGGCTGTATCAAGTTAATCGATTCATCGCAATTAATCTCTTTTGAACCTTGCTTTTTCGTTGCAGTAACTTTTTGACTGCAATGAAAATGTGTTTGCAAAGTTTTTTTTATTTTTTATCAAACGACCCTTAATTAAAGAATAGTGGGTTTTATACATGCGATTAAGTGGGTCTATGGTCTGGTATGAGTAGCTGGGTTGATTCATAAACCCATTCTGACCCTGGAGAGAACCCCCGGATTCTCTGTGTTTTTCAATCCATAACTTTCTCCTTTGTCTCGACCGATCAAGTTATGCAATAGAATGTTAGGACTGACGTGTTTGTGGAAATGCAGGGAGGTGGATGCACATGTAAAGTCAACGCATTGTCTCTGTCCAGTGTCACAGAAAGACGTTATGTGTCCGGGCTCGTGTGCGGAAAAAATGACCAAGAAAAGTTCATATGTGTCTTGTTTTACGGACAGTGGTTAGAGCTGGGTTTGATTCCGCCTCCGGGCCTTTTTGTGTGGAGTTTCCATGCTCTCATCGTGTCTGCGTAGGTTTCCTCCGGGTGCTCCAGTTTCTCCTGTCACTAAAAACATGTACAATAGGTCTGAATGAATGGATGGTGTTGATTTGGGGCTTTGATGCACCAGTGTGTTCGGCGTCTCGCTTCCATCAGAAAGAATGGAAAAAAATCTGAACTCTCAACAATTGTAAAGCGCTTTGGGTGACCTTGGTCTGTCAAATGTGCTATATAAAAAAACATTACTTTCTACATACTTTCTACCCACATGTAAAAAGTGACAAGATCATTCTCACAGGGTTCATTCCTTTGGCAAATCTGCTACACAGTGGTTCAGTGGTTAGCACTTGTGCTTCTCTTCAAGATTCAAAATCCAGGCCGGATCTGTCTTGGTGAAGTTTGCATGTTCTCCCTGCGTCTGTGTATGTTTCCTCCTCGTGCTCTGGTTTCCTCGACCACTAACACGTAAAGGTCTGAACGGAGTGAGTGAAGGGACGGTGATGGTCGAAGGGTCAGACGCACCTGGTGTTTGGGTTCTTGGTGCTGTCAAAGGTGTCTTTGTGTGACCTTCTATAAAAGGCGCTATACAAAAAAATATTACTTGCATACAAATCTTGTTTTAAATGTACCGAATTCAAGGCAAATACTGCAAATTCAATCAATTATCTACCCATTTCTATCACTCATCTTGTCCAATACTGCTCTTTTCCCATGCGTCCTTGAGCTAAAGCCACAGTTCAAACCCATAACTTTTATAATAATAGTCATTTTTTTCTCACCAACGCACGGATTGTTACACTGGCCTCAGTCGTGGCCACAGTTTGATTTATGGAGCTGTTTTCTTTCACTCCACATCCATGCACGCCCCCACGAACAGACTTATCTAATCTATCTAATCTATTATTTGTACATATCTCTTTAACAATGTTGCTTTCATACATTATCAAAGCTTTTGATAAAACATATTTAGGATTAAGAGAACCTATATATGTCCCACAGTGGGGAAATTTCAGTGTTGCATCCCAAGTTTCAGAACAGCATGAATGAGGAGCACAAGAAAAGTACATTTTAAGTGTAGCAAGTATTAAAAAATTGAATAAAATCTCTATCTTTATCTTAATAAAGAAACACAGTACGAAATACTCTATACTCTAGTGCAAGAAATACAGTATACACCATTTAATACAAAAGGGAGGGAGCAGAGCCACTGATGTACTGACAAGTTAAGTAAGACTGGGAAACATAAAGACAAGAAATGTGATGCTTTTGGGATGTTCCAGTTATGACATTAAAAAAGTACTTTGTTTCTCAAACGTTTACAGCAAACAAATACACATAAATAATAGTATAATATAGTAATAACAATATAATTTATTATATTAGGCATATAAACATATAATTTATATGCCTAATTGTTTTGTAAAAGTTTTAAGGATATGGGAAACATGCGAAAATGATAACAAACAGCTGCATATTTGGTATTCCTTTTAGTTTATATTTAGCATTTTCAAATATTAGATAAATAGTACTGGGCTAGGACCACATCTTGAGGCTCAGATCACCTGATTTAAAGCCCTTTCCCAGTCCCCCCAGTTAGTCCAGTGTGTCAGTGTCACATACATCTGCTGTTGTCATCACCATTAAAGCTGACATGCTAAAATTAGAGCAAATAGCTGCTTATTTATTATTCCTATTAGTTTTACATTTATCATTTTCCATTCATGGCTAAATATCATGATTATTTTCTTTATTTTTTGTTTCATCATTTTGTAGATTTCTTTGCAGCATTAACACGTTCAGGCTCGCTACGGCAGCTGCGTCTGTCCACACGTCTCCCAGGAGAGGAGTGACGGCTTTAATAAGAGGTGACACATTCTGAGTGGATTATCTGCCTCGTCTTTAACAACTTTTATAATCTCTGGCCTCACTCGTGATTCAGTGCCGGGGTGCTCTCTGTGGCTATAATTCAGTGAAATTGTTAGTTTTAATCCCCAGGTTGACAGCTCAAACTTTTGTGGTTTTGAAAAAGGAAGACTCTGTACTTTTGTCTTTAATTGCTGTTTGGGTTCCCGCTCCAGTATAGTCTCTGCACTGCAAAAAAATGCAAAAAGAATGAGCTAAAAATGGCTTGAATTAAGGAAACTTTATCTTGATGTGAGTATTTGTTGGATTGTTGGATCTATGTTGAGATTATAACCATGTTACAAAATTATTCACTCATCTAAAACATACTAGGAGTGGTTTTTAGAACCACCCATGCTAATGTTATGTACTTCTGGCCCTTCTATTCAGACGATATGTTTTCAAGCTGGTTACGCTCCATGGATGTGTTGTATTATCACTTAAACTTGTCTCCAGCATGGACAAGAGGCCACCCACGGTACTACACCTTAATTTCACATGGGCTGTTTAGGAGATTTTCCCTCAGACCTCAATGTTCACTAAAACAGCTCGAGCTCAGCTGGCACGGAACCTTCAGCTTTCTCTAAGGTAAGATTATGTGAGGATTTTAGTGTCTTTTGAAATCTATTGGTATACTGTTAATCCACATTT